CCTTGAAATGTTCAGACAATTTGGGAAGGACATTTCTCTAGGCTTTATGACAGCCACCTGGGCCAGTGTTTGCTTGCCTTTCACCTGGATTTGGTCACCCGTGTATTTCTCCCGGAAGCATGTTCCCCATAGGGTGTCCACACGTCCCCCGAGATTTTCTCCCCCAAAGCATGGGGGATTTGTGCATCAAACCCCAGTATTCCTTCGGGGTAGGTGTTTGTGGGAGGAGACTTTGCTAACGAGGGTGTGCAGGGTCCTATGGGTGCCCCCCTCCCCCATACTCACTGCTCAAGTGTCCTGGCAGCTCACCTTGGGAACTGATTTTTCACACAGTTCTCTTCGATATGTACTTGTCCTGTATTGTTTGTCAAGGTTTTAAGGGTGAAACCATCAAGAGAGCAGGGATAGCCAGCCAGGCCCCCAGGCAGCAAGGCCGGGGAGGCTCCTACAAACTTGATTCTTTTTGCATTTTATTTTTTTTTTTTTATTATTTTTTTTTTAATTTATTTATTTGACAGAGAGAGATCACAAGTAGACAGAGAGGCAGGCAGAGAGAGAGAGGGAAGCAGGCTCCCTGCTGAGCAGAGAGCCCGATGCGGGACTCGATCCCAGGACCCTGAGATCATGACCTGAGCCGAAGGCAGCGGCTTAACCCACTGAGCCACCCAGGCGCCCTCTTTTTGCATTTTAAAACTAGAAGAAACAGACTTAGAGAGTCTGAATTTCACTTCAAATAGCTAATGAGTTAGAGGGTATGTTTCTAATTTTATTAGAAGATAGGAAAGATGACCCCTCTAAAGAGACACTTTCTTTCCACATTCTCATGCCACACAATGAAATTGATCTGGCATCTTAATAAACTTAAAATATGAGTTAATTAAGTGACATTTTAAAAGCATTAAAAGGCACCTGGATGTCTAGCTTGTTGAAGCACAGAGGGCTTTTGCCTTCAATCAGGAGCAGGCCATGTTTCCTGTTTTTTTGCAAGGAGACAGATGTTCAAGAAGACATAAGACAGAGGATGATGAAGAAGCATTTGGGCACATTTCTTTGACTGAAAAATGATTACATTTCCAAAGAGAAAGCTCTGCTTAATCAATGACAGAAGAGGGCTACGTTATATGGACAGATGACCTCTATATCAAATTCTTGATTTTTTAAAAAAGATCCTATTTATTTATTTGATAGAGAGAGAGATCACAAGTAGGCAGAGAGGAAGGCAGAGAGAGAGAAGGGGAAGCAGGCTCCCCGCTGAGCAGAGAGCCCAATGCAGGGCTCGATCCCAGGACCCCAAGACCATGACCCAAACCGAAGGCAGAGGCCCAACCCACTGAGCCACCCAGGTGCCCCTCAAATTCTTGATTTTTTATTTATTTGAGAGAGAGGAAGAGAAGGAGCTGGAAGGAGGAGCAGAGGGAGAGAGAGAAGCACACTCCCCACTGAGCAGGGAGCCTGACCCAGGGCCCCTGAGATCAAGACCTGAGCTGAAGGCAGACACTTAACCGATTGAGCCACCCAGGCACCTGATTTTATTTTAAATGTTTATTTGAAAAGCATCCTCAGGGCGCCCAGGTGGCTCAGTGGGTTAAAGCCTCTGCCTTCAGCTAAGGTCATGATCCCAGGGTCCTGGGATCAAGCCCTGCATCGGGCTCTCTCCTCAGCGGGGAGCCTGCTTCCTCCCCCCACCCGCCCCCTGCCTGCCTCTCTGCCTACTTGTGATCTCTCTCTCTCAAATAAATTTTTTAAAAAATCTTTAAAAAAAAAGAAAGAAAAGCACCCTTAAGCCCAACACATACACACTCAACACAAAGTAGAAATTCCATCACTGAAAACATCTACAATATGGAAGAAATGGAAGTCCTGCTGCCACCTCCAACCCACCCACCCCCCAGAAGCTGACTACCCAGAGGTAACCCTGTGATTTTTTCTGGTAATGCTGATTCATACCTCATTTAACTCTGGTTGAAACTGGAGCACGGCATCCTGGGCACAGGCATTTCCCAGAAACTTTGTGCGCTCGAGTTTATCTTATGTACAATCTTGCTTTACCTGCCCTTCTGCTCTGGTCAGAGAGGGAAGGAGAGCAGGTTGGGGGGTGCAGCTCTGAGGGCACAAAGATACGCTGGGTTGGGGCGTGTCAGGGGAGGGCAATGCTGCTGCCTGGTGGAGCTCTTGCTCAACACAGGGGCTGCAGAGCCCGAGAAGGGGCCACAGTCCTTGGAGCTGAAGTTACTACATCGAATGCACATGGGAAAGCTTGCAATTTTATTTTTTAGCAGAAAAAGTTATGGCAATGAAAGTAGGAATCATTGTTCAAGGAGGAAGAATTTCCTGATTCATTATAGAATGCTTAGACAATGGACACCTGGGTGGCTCAGTTGGTTAAGCATCTGCCGTCAGCTCAGGTCATGATCCCAGAGTCCTGGGATCAAATCCCGCATCGGGCTCCCTGCTCAGCAGAAGCCTGCTTATCCCCCTGGTGCTCCCCCTGTTTGTGCTCTCTCTCCCTCTCTCTCTCTCTCTGACAAGTAAATAAATAAAATCTTTTTAAAAAACGAAGAATGCTTGGGTAAGTGTTTTAATCACACAGGAAGGGGGTCAACACAAAATATTAAGTTAAAAAAAGATACATAATTGGATATGTACAATGTGATCCGAAATTAGTGAAATCAATTTCTCTATACATCTATCTGCTAATAATCAGCCATAAATAAAAGAAACCCAAATTGAAATATGACAAAACGTTATCAAATTTTTATTTTATCCTCACCTATATTTTTCCATTTTACTATAATGGAAATGTATTTCTCGTGGAGTAAAATGTTCCTATGAAAGCAGAATGCTACGTCTATAATAACTTAAACTGGTCGTTGAGAAAGAGGGACTACATCGAAGGTAACTGGCACCAGACACCAGGAAGAAAGTTTTTTAGCCTCAGGTTCTCAGTGAGGATGATTAAATATTTCCAGAGCCCTAAGTGATGGTAATCTCTGAATGAAACCTGGTAAGTGAAGCTTGGGCTGAAAATGAAACTTATATCCCCCATCTCCTCACATTCGAGAGAGAACTTGCCCAAGTGGTTTCATCACCTCCCAGATGCCTTTGAAGTTCTGGGTTGCAGGGGCTTGAGGCCACTGGGAGGGATGGAAAGCAGGACCCCCGGGGTGCCAGGAAGCCACAGGGAGCCCGGTAGCTGCCTGGTGAGGGGGGGGGGGTGTTGGGTTGCGTTCTGAGCCAGCCAATGGCCTGTGGAAGCCTGAAAGCTCTTCTCTTTCACCAGGGTGTCCCGAGTCTTCTGTGAAGGAACCCTTGTTCTCCTAGTTCTCCTCCAAGGTGTGATGCCTTTTTACCATGACCTCACATTTAATGTCATCAGATCAATATCTGCATTTCTCTATAGCTGCAAACCTGGGCTACAGTTGGGTGTCTGGGACCTGAAAGTACAAAGAACATCCTGTAGGCATGGCTGGTTTCTACACTGACTGTAACTAAAATCCTTCCTTAACTCTGCAGGGCTGTGTTTTTCCCCAGACAGACAAGGAGCCACATGACCCTTCTGCCCTGTGCTCTTCTGGGCCCTCTCCAGAGCTGCTCGTTGGACTGGTGAATGCAAAAGAAGCCAGATAATTTTCTTGTTCTAAAGAATAACTGATGATTTGACTTCAGGTACTCATATATGAACGTTTAAAATATGATTGCCTTGGGACCAAGAAATCAGTCTGCAGAAATGGCTGGGTTTCCAAATACCGACATTTACGTTCGGTTCAGATTTTCAGGAGCCCCAGTTCTCCCTCCCTGCTCCCCTTTCCGCCCAATCTTTAATTTCACCTGTTCCTAGCTCTTTACTCACTGTAGAATGGAATCTTAGATGCTTCTGGCAAACTCTGTGTTATTAGGATGGGATGGCGTTTTGTTATTAGGCTGCATTTTATTATTTCCTTCAGCTCAATGTGGACCCGATTGATATTGGAGGGCCCTCCCTGTGGGTTGAGACTGAAAGATGCTGCAAATGATGTTTTACTATTTTTGTGGGCCCTGCTTCCTTGCAGCCAGGTGAGGGACCCTGTGCGGGGCTGGCTGAAGGACAGGCTGACCTTACCTGGGATTGCGAGAGCCTTCAAAGGCTCGGGCTGCTTTTTTGCTGCACAGAAGGGCCAGAGGTAGCTGCTGTTCTCTTGACTTCAGAGCCCGTTCGGACGAGGAGATCAGTAGGCATTTAGGACGGCTATCCTGGCCTCTTCACACAGAGGGTCTAGTTTGCCATCACCTCCTGGGGAAATAGAAGCAATTTTCTTTTGGCCAGTTTTCTATACGATGTCATGTCATAGAAGACACGGCTTCCACTAGAGGTCACGTCTCAAAGTACACAGGCACGTCAATTGTTAACTAGCCTTTAACAGAGTATGAGTGGATTGCACAAGCTTTTATTTCTGAGCAGAGTGTAGGATGCGTGATGCCAGCCTGCCTGGCAGGAAGCTCTCCAGGGCCAAGAGGTCCCTAGAACCTCACTAATAACGCCATGCACGGCTGGCGTACGGACTCTCATTTTCTTAGCAAGCCTGGGTAGAAGAGTCAAATGGAACAGAAACTGTTTTGGAGGCAAATCATAATAAAACACACATTGTTAAAACGTGAAAAGAAAAAGAAAGAAAAAGAAAACCCCAAAACCTCTTACCCCTAAATTCCCATTTGAAATCTAGGGCTAACATTTCATTTTTCTTTCTGTCCCTCCTTTGTTTCCAGGGTTCTGGGAAGAAGCCCAGGGCATCGAGCACTTATCTCTGTGTCCTTTAGGATGTGCTCATACTCGTAACACAGAACACAGGGTTTTGAGTAAGAATTTAGGACGCAGAAAAAAACCCAACTTGAATCTGGGCATAACCACAGGCCACTTGCACTTGAAATCAAGCATGCTTCCGGGAAGGCAAAGTGCTGGCTGGGAGCAGTGCTGAAGGACCTACCAAACTCCAAGTCTTGGATGTTACAGTGGAAGACAATTTCTTCGTTCACCATGAGTTCCACCACATTCCAGTCTTCTATCTTCTCTAGGATGACCTTGTGTCCATCTCTGGTCAACACAGCTGCAAAAGATGGAGAGGGGTGTGAGTGACATGGGGACAAGCTTTAGATTAACCTGATATGCAGCTGTCCTCATGGATGGCAGCAGCTGGCTTGTTCTCCAGCTGCTCCTGGCTTAACTCAGCTGTGCTGGTGGGTACCCAGCTGGTGCTGGCCCAGGTGTGCCCTCACCTTTGCTGGGAAGTGCAGCCAGGGACCTGAGCAGTTCAGGGGTCAGTCACAATTTGCCCCAGACCCATAGGTTGCATGAAGATATGAGTTGTCTCTAGGAAGGTTTTTAAACTTTTCTTATAGAGATGATACTCAATGTTGGAGGGGATGTGGGGAATCAGGTGACTTCTTATCCTGCAGGTGGAAATATAAACTGGTCACCTTTCTGGAGGAAATTTGGGAGTACATGTCAAAAGCCTCAAAAGCCTCAAGAAAATGTGGAATGACAGAATGAATTAAACTCTGGCCTGGGAAATTGCACTTATAGGAAAGCTTCCTCAGGAAAAAAAACAAGAAATACAGGCAGACTTTTGTAGCAAGATGTTCCTTTCTGCAGCATTACAATAGAAAATACTTTGAATAACCTACTGGTCTAATCAGAAGAAGATGGTCAAGCAGGTCCCTATGATGAGATTTTATTCAAACACTTCAAAAGATGTTTATGAATTTTTTAAATAGCAAGAAAAATATTTCTGACATAGGTAAACAATCAGGATATATATATATATATATATATATATACATATATATATGTATATATATACACACACACACACACATATATAGTATCTATGAAAATGTATATTCAATACTAATTAAAATATGTATATGTAATAGGAAAAGAAATATCCAGTGGGTATATCTCTTTGGTAATAGTATGTGTAAGCTCTTTCTCTTTATTCTTTCAGCATTTTCCAGATTTTCTTTAATAATAAGAAACAAAATGCCCTTTTTATTTTTTAAGGTAATGAGCTAAATTTTGGAAGCTGTTTCTGATTATCACTTCCCTAGAGATCAGCTGTGGAACAGTTTTAGGTCTCGCCTCCATTGTGGAAATCCAAGAATATATGCATTTAGGAGAAATGATGTGCATTGACCATCACGGAGTTCTGTTTTCTCTAACACGGCTCTCCTCAGTTTTCTTAATATGTTCATCCCGTAACCTTGGTGGTAGAGTCAGTGGGCTAAGCCGCCATCTTTGGCGGTCTTCATACATTGGTGAGGATTTTGGTTAGGATGAGAAGAGGAATCAGAGGAAGAGTCTTTTTTTTTTAAAGTCTTAGAATCTCAATCCGTCTTACATGCAGAAAAGCAGACAGTTACGTCAGTTAATTGCATTTAATTACAGAGACAATTGCTGTTTCCAAATGTTGGCATGTCCACTTCTTCATCTTTCAATCAGTTCAAGAACATCCAACCCCAACTGTGAACATTTTAATTGCGTGATTTTAATTTCACTTCTGGAAAGGAACTTCAGAGAGTAACTCAGTGAGGATCTCCATTAACAAGATCGCTCTCCTCAGGCCCCCAAGTGGTGGCCCTAATTGACCCGGCATCAGCTAACACCTCTTTCTACAGAACACCAGCATCTTTTTCTCTGGCATATTTGTTATTGTATCCTATTTCAGTGTCTTGTCTTAAATGTCTTTGGAGGAAGGCACTCAGCTTGGACCAACGACTTGTTTAAATGAAGTGGTCCGTGCAGTTTGGGATAGCCATTAGATCTGGGGACCAGACATTCTCCCAGCAGCACCCTCTCAGGAGTGGGGACATGCAGCCCTAGAGGAAAAAGCTGCAAGGGAGTAGGTCGGAGGCCATTTGGCCTCCAGGACCTTGGCTTTGCATTGTCAGAAGATGCTCTTGGGAAATGGACTTCAACTCGATGGGAAGAAATCAGGAACACATCAGCTTCTCCACTCCTACCCGATCTCTGGAGACAAGGTGTTGCCTCTATCCTACTTACACACAACACCCACTCCCTAAGGCCTGGGGGTTCTGGAGAGGAGGAGGCACAGGTTCTGTGGGGAGCTGCCCGCTGTGACTGCAGTAGAAGCGTGGAGGGGCTCTGCAGGAGGAGCTCCTGAGGAGGTGTGCACCCGGCAGCCCACCACGGTACTTTCCTTTCTCACAGGGCAGGGCCCCATCTGAGTCTCATGGAGATTCTGGGGTTTGGGGTTTGCTTTATGAGAACAGCAGGACTCTTTCATGGCAGAGTGTCTCCTAAGAGACAGGATCGGATGCACCAAATGACCTACCCTGTGCAAGTCAGTGGTGCCAAATAATGGCACCTGAGCCATGAAGCCCAACAGGAAGAAATCTTCTGAAGAGAATATATCGCCCTTCACGTCACCTTCTATATGGTTCACAAAGCGTGGGCTCTCGGGGCCTTTAAGGATACACGTCTCCCTCACTGACACTGACCATAATCTCCCCACCTCCCAAGCCCACCAGGTGCCCGGTGTTAGAACAGCTTGTTAAAAAAACACGCTTGGCGTAATGGTGCTGGGTACCTCCAATGACTCTTTCGGGCACTGAGTGACCTAAGTCTGCTTCTTATGAAAGCGATGAACCACCTCGGATTCCACATCATACATTTCACCCTCAGGATGCCTGCCCCTTCTCATCCGTCCACGATGGGCTGAGCCCAGCTGCAGGGTGGTCAGTGCAGGCTTAAGGGATCAAACTTGGAGAAGCACCAGAATCCCTGCAGCTCACCCAAATGCCACCTCACTACATGGAGGCCCCATTTTTCCCTACGAGCTGCTATGGGGTTGTCTATTCAAAGAAAGGTCAGATAAATATACTCCATGCAACAAAGTCTTTCCAAAGGCAGTGGCTAAACTCCAGCATAAATCAACCAGAAGCTATAAGGCCACCCGCAGAACGCGTGCCTCTTTGAAGTGGCACCTCATTCTTCAAGGGGGATCTGGGTAAACTGAAGGGACACGGAAAAGCCTCCCTCTTCTCAACGCTGGCGGAATTGTGCACCATCTGGGAGTGATTGAAACACAGCTAGTTAGGAAGTCACAGCCAACAGACAGGCATCTCCCCCTCCTCCGCTTGGCACAGTTGCGAGGCTGATGACCATTACTGTGTGCAGCTTGCGTGGAGCTAGGGATGCGAGAATGGCACAGAGAGCATCTTAGCTGAATAAGGGCGGATCCTAGCTTTCTGGGTCAGTTTCAATTCCTTTTCGTTCCTTTCAGCAGGTCGTTTGGCAGACTTCATTTGGGACAACGGACAAGGAGCAATGATGGCCGGAGAATTACTTTGGACTTGTTAAGCATTAGATAGCTTAATTTCATCAATATTGAGGCCACAGTAGAGACACTTTTGCTGAACTATTAGAATTTGTGGGTAATAAGGAATGAACAAAATGTTCAGATTTCTTTTTTTTAATTATTTATTTTTAATTTTTTTATTTTTTATAAACATAAAATATATTTTTATCCCCACGGGTACAGGTCTGTGAATCGCCAGGTTTACACACTTCACAGCACTCACCATAGCACATACCCTCCCCAATGTCCATAACCCCATCCCCCTCTCCCAACCCCCCTCCCCCCAGCAACCCTCAGTTTGTTTTATGAGATTAAGAGTCACTTATGGTTTGTCTCCCTCCCAATCCCATCTTGTTTCATTTATTCTTCTCCTACCCCCTTAACCCCTGCCCCACGTTGCATCTCCACTTCCTCATATCAGGGAGATCATATGATAGTTGTCTTTCTTAAGGCAGGAAAGTGAGTGCAGGAAAGATCAGGCATATTTCCAAACCCAGCAGGGCTTTGGGACATGCTAAAGGGCTATGATTTTCAAAGAAATGTACAGAATTCAGATGCAGATTTTACAGAGGACGACCTGTGCTTGGTCTGATGTTAATATTGACTCTAAAGTGGTGGAGGGAGTGGGCGATGGGAGGGTGGGGAGCAGACCCTTCCTGTTTTGCTTCTGTTAGCACCCTGGCATTTGTCACCAGCCCTCAGGAAATGTTGGCTGCTGGCATTATACGAATTATCATTCAGAATACACAAACTAACTTTAAAAATCAACCACCTGCGGGTAGCCTGCAATATTCTTCTCCTTTAACCATAAAAATTCTCCCCTTGATCTTCTTGAGATATTCCTTCCCCTCCCCTGCCGCGTGAAGAGCTGTTTGTGCTCTTGGCTTCCTCATCTCTCCCTGCTTTCCTACCTCCTGCAGATGGAGGCTTCAGCCCATCTTCTCTTGACCCTGTGGTCTCAGAGGTGCGGAACCATCAGCACACTCCGGGGCACACTCAGTTCTCCCCGCCCCTCTTAGCAGATGGCCGTTCTCACTTATCTCCTTACTTACTTATTTAAAATACTTTTTGGGGCACCTGGGTGGTTCCATTGGTAAAGCGTCTGCTTTCAACTCAGGTCATGATCTTGGGGTCCTGGGATCAAGCCCCGCATGGGGCTCCCTCCTCAGCAAAGTGTTTGCTTCTCCATCTGCCACCCGCCCACCTCGTGCTAGTTCTCTCTCTCTTGCAAAAATAAAGAACATCTTAAATAAATAAATAAATAAATAAAATGCTTTTGCTGGTTAAAAAAAATAATAACCCAAACTATTTTAAACTCTAAAATTTTGTCAGCTTATAAATGTAATGCAGGCGCACAATTTTTTTTTTAAAACCTTGAAATTATGGGACAAAACTGTTAAATCACCCATATTCGTCCCTCTTCCCACTCTGTCATTTTCAGTGGAAATGGGATCACAGTGTGGGTGGAATTCAGGAACACACGTTATTCCCTCACTGCTGTGTCGGGTTATCCAGCCCTATCGATATACACGGATCAGCTGCACAGCATTTCATGGGATGGATAGACTACAATCTCCTCAAGCCAGTCCTTTGTCCGCTTGTTCTCAAATCTTCACTATCAGCAAGAACACTGCAGAAAACATTCCTGGGCATGCCTCTGTGTACATGTACGTGTATAAATATATGTAAAAATGTATAATGAATATACATGTATATATACGTAAATGTATTATATTATATTATATATATATATATATATATATATATATATGGGACTGAGCAATAGAAGATCTGGGTTCTACAGTACATGGTTAAGTTTTAAGACACAGTCAAGTTGCCCTCTAGTTTCTGTGCCATTTTCCCTTCTTGTTGCAAGTCCATGAGAACACTTTTTTCTATGTCCTTCATCAACCACGAATTCATCTTTTTCTAGAAATGACTCCTACTTTACAGTTTGTTGCTCCTTAGCCATTTTCTTCTTGAAATCCTCACCTCACTGACCTCCTTTGCCTCTGGGTTCTCTCCTACCTCTGCACCACTCAGAAGGGCCACTGCCAAGGTCCTGCTGCCCGCCAGTTCTGTCTTTTCTTGCTTTCTCCCCAAGTCTCACTTCCTGTGGGCCCAGTGTTCAGTTCCATTCAGGTTTTTTTTTTTTTTTTAAGATTTTATTTATTTATTTGACAGAGAGAGAGATCACAAGTAGGCAGAGAAGCAGGTGGGGAGTGGGGTGGAAGCAGGCTCCCTGCTGAGCAGAGAGCCCGATGTGGGGCTCAATCCCAGGACCTTGAGATCATAACTTGAGCAGAAGGCAGAGGCCTAACCCACTGAGCCACCCAGGTGCCCCTCCACTCAGGATTATTTTACCTCATGTTTATCAACCCTTAACATGTACCCGGCACAGGGGCACCTGGGTGGCTAAGTCAGTTGAGTGTTTGACTCGTGGTTTCAGCTCAGGTCATGATCTCAGGGGTGTGGGATCGACCTCTGCATCAGGCTCCCTGCTCAGTGGGGAGCCTGTTTCTCCCTCTCCCTCTGCAGCTCCCCCCATGGACCCCGCTTGCACTCTCCTGCTCTCTCTGTCAAATAAATAAATAAAATGTTTAAAAAAAATGAGCTCTTGCCATTTGCAATGGCATGGCTGGAACTAGAGGGTGTTACGCTAAGCAAAATAAGTCAGTCAGAAAAGACAAACACCGTATGATTTCACTCATACGTGGAATTTAAAAAAACAAAACAGATAAACATAGGGGAAGGAAAGGATAAAATTGGGAAGGATAAAATAAGATAAAAACAGGAAGGCAAACCATTAGACTCTTAACTGTAGGAAACAAACAGGGTTGCTGGAGGGGAGGGGGGTAGAGGGGTGGGGTAACTGGGTGACCGGCATTGAGGAGGGCACGTGATGTGATGAGCACTGGGTGTTATACACAACTGATGAATCACTGACCTCTACGTCTGAAAATAGTAATACACTATATGTTAACTAAATTTAAATATTTAAAAGAAAGAAAAAAAAAAAGAAAGATGCCTGTGAACTTTTGGCCTGAGTAACTGAAAGAAGGGAGCTGTGCGCATTGAAATGCAGAGAATGCAGGAGGGACTGGGGTGGTCTGGGTGTGAAGAGGCCAGTTTAGAGACTTTGCACATATCAGTCTGAGATGACTACTGACCACCCCAGTGACAATGAGAGGGCCTGATTGGAGAGAGAAGTTTGGGAGCCACTAGCAGAGAGATGTTATTTACAGTCACAACTACTGGGGCCCCTGGGTGGCTCATTTGGCTGAGCCTTTGTGTTGGGTTTTGATCCCAGGTCCTAGGATGGAGCCCCGTGTCAGGTTCCCCGTGTGGCAGAGCCTGCTTCTCCTTCTCTCCTTCTCCCATTCCTCCTGCTTGTGCGCTCTCTCTCTCTGTCAAATAAATAAATAAATAAATAAACGAACAAATAAAATATTAAAAAAAAATAAAGCCACAACTATTTCTGGCTCAAGTCATCTTTAGTAGTCAAATAGTCTTTTTTGTCTTTCCCCTGAACTTCAGAACTTAATTTCTAATCTCTTAATTTTTCTTAATAATTTGTCTTCTCTCACTTCCTCTCCCTAAATCTCTTCTTTCAGGAATTGGCCTCTTAAGGCACATCCTTAATCTCATCATTCTTAACTCAGGAAATGTTGCTGCTCCTGTGGTCAAGGGTAAAACAGGCCTGCCTCTCTCGTTGTGTAACATCCTCTAGCTGGACCCAATGGCTTGCTGCTCCCCAGCATGTCCCAAGCTGCGCCCTCCTCCCCGTCCTAGTAATCCCCCTGCTCTGGAGTAATAAGAACTAATGCTTGTTGAGCATTTACTATGTGCAGGAATGGTATTCACGACTGTGTGCATTTTCCCATTGGAATCTCACATTAGTGAGGTAGTGATCTGCTCCCATTTTATCAATAGGTAAACTGAGGCTCAGAAAGGTAAAATAACTTATCTTGACTTTGGCCACACAGCTACTAAATGGTGGAGACAAATTCAAAATGAGATTGGTTGGACTTCAGAGTCCTTGTGCTTAATCTCTGCTCTATCAGCAGTGCCAAGAATGCAAGTAGGAGACAAGTGACCAGAGGTGACCAGTCGAGTCAATGGGATTTGTGTGCCAACTATATGGGAAGCTCCCACCCCCAGCCTCAATACTTGTAAATTGTACATTATAACAAGTGCTTATGTATGCATTCCCCTTTAATATAATTCTTGGTATGTAATTGATCTAGTTGAACTCTATACAGTCATGCTGATTATGGCAGCAACAAGAAATGTAATTAAAAATGATCTGTAGACAGCAGCAAAATGGCAGAGTAGGCACTCCAAACTCCCATTCCTCCACAGAGAAGTTAACAAACCACCGGAAACTGTGAGAACCCACTTTGTCAGAACTTTGGAAAAGAGTCAAAGCTGGCAAAAGAGTAAAGGCTGAGTCAAGACAAAGGCAACTTGAAAGTGGTAAGAAAGCTTTGTGGCCTCTTAACTTGCCCTTGTCCCCACCTCCTCCCCGGCAGCCCCTGTCCCCCGTGTGGGTCCTGGTTCCTGTGTCTAAAGGGAGCAGAGCACACCTTGTTTGCAAATTCCTGTGTTTGTCTCTGCCGCCTGTCTGGGGTCTACTTCAGGGACAGGCACAAACCCCTTGTCTCTGTTTCACCTAATGCAGAACTTGGGGTGGAAAAGGCATGGGCAACGTGCGGGCAAATGAAAAATGCGTGGCTGTCGGGGCAAAAGACTGTCGAGACAGACAAGGAACCTCATGAAGCCTGAGAGAGAAAGCTGGCGAGGAGGTTTTGTTGGGACATTATAGAGGATTTTAAAGCACTGAAGTCTCAGTCCTGGACTATTTTCTCATTCCATATGCTGTCCCCAAGTCCATGACTCAGACCTTAAAGTGACCGTCCTGATCCAAACTACTCTCATCTCTCCCTGGACCACCCCAAAGCCTCTTGACTTGTCTCTGCTTCCATTCTTGGCCCCCTCTGATCCGTTCTCCTCAGGGCAGCCACAGTTTCAACCCCCGCGTGCAACTTTCACACAGATCTGCGCCTGTCTGCCTCTCCAGCCTCATCCCCTCAACAGTTCAACAAACGCATCATTTGTCCATGCTGCCAGCCTCTGCAGCTCCTCCCTCCGGCACACTCTTTCTTCTCCTTACCTGGTTATTTTCTCCTTACTCTTTAAAGCTCAACTCAAGTAAAATTTGGTGAATAAACCTTTCCAGATCCCCTCCTCCCCTCCAATTATGACCAGTGGTGGGTCCCGCTATGCTTACATTCCTCTGTTGGAGGCCGGGGCTCAACGGTCAACTAGCAGTCAACCATGAGAAGGTCACTTTAAGGACATCTATCTTTGTTCACCAGTGTGACCCCGGTACCAGGAAGAGTGTCCAGCACACACCAGGTGCTCAGGAAAGTTTTGTCACATGATTGAATGCTGAAGGCATAGCCTCTCCACCATTTTCCTGCCTTCTGACCTTGGCCAAGTCAATTAACGTTCCTGATCTTCAGTTTTCCAATGTGTAAAGCAGGTTATGTAATCCCTCCTATCCAAATAACTTGTGTGAACTGCCTGGTCCTCAGTGCGAAGACTTTCCGGAGGTTATGGGGCTTGGTCTGGGTCTGAGGAAGGGAGGAGGAATAGGCAGAGGGCACAGCCTGCACGGGTGTTCAGAGGCCGGGGTGCACCTGGGCACATGCAGTTGGGCGGCCTCTGACTCTCGGCTGCCCACCTTGTAGGCCCTCTAGGCGGAAGGTGCGGTACTCCACAGATAGGCCGACTGCACTGTACGGCCCATAGCGAATGATGACCACGGCGTCCTTCGGCATGGCAGGCCGCAGGCTCCCACTGAGACGCAACACACACTGCTAGGCAACTGCTGGGCGGACTCTTGGGAGCGGGTGTGGCCACGCGGGAGGGTGGGCGGGGCCAGCGCGGGTAGGGGCGGGACCTGAGGATCCTTGCCCCCAGGCCTGTGCCGGGTACCAGTGTGGCTGCCGGCTGAGGACTGTCCCTTTCTGGGTATCTACACCACCACCTCTGGGGTGCAAGAGAGTTGTGGTGTAACTTGCTTTCTCTTACCTGACTGCCAGGTAAACAGGGGACTTCTGCCCCGTGTGGCAAGTGTTAATGATAAATACTGACAGTAGTCAACATTTATAGCCACTTACAGAACGCATGTGTCAGGTGACGTGCTAGGCACGTTCCGAATATTATCTTATTTAATTATTTTACCATCCTTATGAAGTAGGTTGTGTTTTGTGCTTTGTATTTACAAAGCTGAGGCTCAGAAGAGGTCAAGTAACCTTCCCAGGCAAGCCAGGGGTGTAGGAGGGACAGGAGAATCTTGTAAGTTGCCTGTCTATAGGTTTCTTTTTATTTATCTTGCCTCGGACTTTTCGAGATTCTTGAAACTGAATTTAAGTCCTTCACCTGTTTTTGGAAAAAATGGGAGTCCTTATCTCTTCTCATATTGCTTCTGGTTCCATTTTCTTACTTTTCAGGGACATCAGTTAAATATATATACATATATGTATATATGTATATGTATATATATTTAAAGATTTTATTTATTTATTTGACAGATCATAAGGGAAGCAGGCCTCTGGCTGAGCAGAGCCTGATGTGGCGCTGGATCCCAGGACCCTGGGATCGTGACCTGAGCCGAAGGCAGAGGCTTTAACCCACTGAGCCACCCAGGCGCCCCTAGCTAAATATATTGAACTGGGACTGTATTCTTTATGTCTCTTCCTTCTGTGTTTTTCTCTTTTCATTCTTCTTTTGCATTATATGTATATATGTGTGCATACACTCATTCATTTTTACATGTAATCCAGTTTGCTAATTTTCTCTGTAACCATGTCTTAACTGCTATTAAATTCATCAATGTGGTTGTTTTTTTCAGTTATTTATTTTTATAATTCTAAAATTTCAGTTTGATCTTTTTTCAAATCTGCTGTATCACCTTCTATAGTTTTCAGTTTCTTGCGAAGTTTTTTAAGGTTTGAGGTTATTCTTGATCATAGTAAAGATACTTACTTTATAGTCTGTAGACCCCACATATCTGTTTCTGTTGTTGTTTCTGGTGGTGTCTGCTTATCCTGTCTAGAGTTCCTGGTTTACTTTAATTGTGTACTGGACATTGTATTAGAAAAATTATTTGTAGGAACAGTTTGAGGCCAAGGGTGATGTTATCTTTCTCTATAGAAGACTCCCCCCACACTCACTGCTTGCCAGTTCCTAGTAACACCAGCAACCCAGGATCCCTTCATACAATTTCAGGGTTTGAGATTATCTGAGCCATACAGATGGCTTGAAACTGGGCCGCAGGACATGTGGAGGTTGGTTCATTTATTTTTTATCCTCATTCCTGCCCCAAAGAAGGTGCTAGCTAACCAGGATTTCCCCCTGGGTATTGTTGGACTCCAATGTTTTTGTATGCCTAACACTGCAAAGACTCAAAAATTGCATCTCATCTTCTAGGCTGCCTATTCAAGGATCCCTAAATAGCCCCAGAGTAAAAGCACCTCCAGTGCTATGCTTACTTATGCTCATCCTCTCCCTGATCTTGATCTAGTGAGCTCTTCTATGATTTTAAGAATATATATACCAGGAGTGGCTCATTTGGTTGAGCATCTGCTTCTTGGTTTTGGCTCAGGTCGTAATCTCAGGGTTGTAGGATAGAGCCCCATGTTGGGCTCCATGCTCAGTGCGGAGCCTGCTTGAGACTCTCTCCTTCCCTCTCCATCTGTCTCTTCCCCTGCTTCCTCTCTCTCTCTCTCAAATAAATAAGTAAGTAAATAAATAAATAAATCTTTAAAAATATATACGTATACGCCAGATATTTAAAAATGTCTTCTGTAGGAAGCTTCATCTGAATTAACTAGTCTACCATTACCAGAGGCAGAGGATTCCCTGTTGAGAGTTTTGCTGGCGCTGCACTGAATCTAGAGATCAATCTGGGGAGAATTAAGATCTTTCTAAGGCCTTCATATTCATTATCTTGAAATACCTCTCCTTTATTTAGATCTTCTTCAGTGTCTTTCCATACATTAATATCTGTATTATAATTATAATTTGATTATCTGTGTATAGATCTTCATGTCTTTTGTTAGATTTATTCCTAGGTTTTATTATAAATCATGTATTTTGTATTGTGATTTTTTGTTTGTTGTGGTGTATAAAATAAAATTGACTTTTGTATATTGATTTTATATAAGCAACCTTGATCTTTTTAATTGAATTGTTAATTTGTTTACAGATTTCTTTTGGATTTTCTATATGGAAAATCACACTGTCTGCAAACGATGATAGCTTTTTTCTTTTATTAAGCCTTTCTTTCCTTTTCTCCTTATTTTATTGCACAAGCTAGAACCTGTAGTGCAATGATGAATAGAAGTGGAAATAGTGCATATCCTCACTTTATTCTACATTTCCCTATTTGCAATGTTGTATATTGTATGTTTTATGTAAATGTTAATGTCAAGCTTATTTCTTTTCTACTTCCTTTTGCAATGGGTTTTTTAAAAAAAATTATGAATTACTGTTGAATTTTACTGAATGCATTTTAATGATCTATTAGAGTGGGTCTATATTTTTATTCTTTAAGCTGTTCATGAGTAAATGACATTTAACTATTTTCTTGTTTTAAAGTTTTTACTTTAATTTCAGTTGATTAACATACAGTGTCATATTAGTTTTAGGTGTACAATATAGTGATTCAACACTTCCATACATCACCAGTGCTCATTATCTAATATTAAACTACCTTACATACTTGGATAAACCTGACTTGGTCATGAGTATATTATCTTTTTTATATACTGTTAGAGTTTGTTTGCTACTGTTTCATTTAGATTTTTTTAAGTGGGAAGATTTTAAACTATGTCTTCAGTTCATTTAAGATTTATAAGGTTGTCCAGAAATTTTATTTATTCTCTCATTAGTTTTAGTAAGTTATATTTTCTTAAGGATTTTTATCTAATTCTTAAATTACTGGCATTAAGTAGTTGATATATTTTCTGGTTATCATTATAATGTCTACTGCAGTTGTATCTACCTTTTATTCATTATATTATTTCTGAATTTCTCTTTTTATTGGTTTTACCAGAGATTTGTCTATTTTGTTACTCTTTTTAAAGAACCAACTTTAAAAAGATATTTATCACATTGTATTTTAATTATGAGTTTATCAATATCCCATTAGATTGGGGGCTCCTTGAAAGCCAATGATTGTTGCATTCATTTTGCCTTCACATAGGTAACAAAGTATTTGCTAAATGAATAATGAACACTATTTCTATGCAAACCGTATGTATTTACCCATAATTTCTGAGTGTTAAAACTCCAACTATTCTATAAGCTGATTTAAAATACTCATATTTAAAGAAGAAACTTATACCAAGGCTTTGCTTGAAAGCCTGTGCTAAATCATTTTTAAATTTGTAGTTTTGAGGCATTTTATCATTAAAAGCTGGCACTCATACACCTAAACTAACAAGAGCTTAAAATTCATCACACACTTTCTTCATTTTTTAGCTTGACCTTCTTGTAAATCTTTAGCTTCATGGATTTGGGCTGCTTTATAAGGAGATCTTCCCTTGTCTGGGTGATTTAAAAGCATAGCTCATCGGTGAATATCTCCTATTTTTCCTTTATTGGCAGTAGGTTTGCATCTACACCTGGTATTATGTTGCTTCTCGTTTTATCATTTTGGGTTCAAACACATCTCTATAATGCCACCACTGGAGGCAGATTTTAGTAGATTTTGAAAAACTTGTTTTATTTGAGGCTTCATATGTTTCATGGCTTGCCAGCCATAATGGTCTGCAAATCCTGCAGAGGCAATGGTCAGGCCAACGGGTGCCACACATGGCTCTGACTGTGGCTTGGCTCCCCACCCTCCGTCGAATGCATGGTCAAAGAACCCACTTTTCTTTTGTTTAACTTCTCTTTAGCTTTGTTTTCTCCTTCATTGATAGTTGTCCTATCTTTGTTACTTTTTGACTTTACTGTTCCTTCTACTTTCCTTAAGTTTAGGGCCTGACTCTTTTTCTTACTTTGTAAATTACATTTAGCTCATCAATTTTCAGTCTTGCTTCTTTTCTGATGTAAGTATTTTAAGGTTAAAATTCTCCTCAAGGCATCAGCTTTGCTGTATTCCAGAGGTTTTGATATAAGTTATCTTTATTATCATTCTGATCAAAGTATTTCTAAATTTCCATTATTATTTCTTCTTTGACCCAATAATTTTAGAATAACATATTTCTTTGATTCTGGAATATTCCTAATGATTTCCTCTTGGAATAGTGCTTTCCCTCATTCTCTCTAATCTCTTCTTCCTGAACTTCTACATGTACCTTCCCTGTATTTTTATTCCTTTCTAATGTTAAACATATCAATCCCCAAAGTTGGAGATAGAACTGGATTTATCATCCAGTCATCCCATCTCTGAGCCTGGTGCTTTTCCCTCCACTCCGTTCTGTCTATGCATGTTTGTGCAGGCTTATGTGCAGACACCCATCTCTACACCCAGATTTCTGCCAACACGATCACAAAAAGCCCATGAAGCCTCTCTGCCCTTCACCCTTTCCCCATGCCACACACTAGGAACTAAGTTCCTGCCTCCCTTTCTCTCCTGGACCCTGTATCTTTCAGACGTCCACCACTGCTGCTGACCTCAGACAACGCCAAACAGATCATTGACCCAGTTCACAGAACTTATAACAAACTTTGAATACCACTTCTGTTTAGAAACAATGGCTAACACTGTCCTTTTTGGTATTACTTTTTATTGAATATGGACTTATGGTCTTTAAATATTT